ACTTGTTAGTTGTCATCAAAGCTGTAGCAATGGTGGTGAAGAGCTTGCCCCTGGAGTTAGATTGTCCTGGGTTCAATTTCAGCTCAGCCACTTTCCTCATCTGTATCAGCTTCCCAGTGCTGCCGTAAGCAGGTACCACAAACTCCATGGCTTAAAGCAATCGACCTTTCCTCATCCAGCTCTGGAAGTGAGAAGTTCAACACTGACTTGTCAGCAGAGCTTCCTCTGAAACTCTGGGTGGCATCTGCCCTGGCCTCTTCCTGGTCTCTGGTGGCCATAGATCCTCAGTGTTCCCTGACTTGCAGCTGTGTCACTGACACCTCTGCATGCATCATGTGGCCCTCTGCTGTGCATCTCCCGTGGCGTTTCCCTCTTCTTTTCAGGATATGGGTCATATTGGATTAGGCCCCACCCTAATGATCTCGTCTTAACTTGAATACTCTACAAAGACCCTAAACATCACGTTCACTTATCTTGCACGGGGGGACACAGTTCAGCCCATAACAGCATCCCTGTGAGCTTGGGTAAGTGAATGAATGTCTACAACCATTATCTGTCTCACTATCTGAAGATGATTGTCATCCAGGCCTGCATCCGTGAGGAGGATGTGAGGTGATATGAAAAGCCCTTTGCATTCATTCAGGGTTCAAGATATGTGACTTACCATCTCCTGCTCCACAGCCCCGTGTCTTGGCTATCGTTTATTTAAACTCGCTACATTCAAAGGCAAGCTAGGAGACACCGTAAGATATACAAAGATATCCCCTTACTCTGGGTGAACTCACAAACTTTGAGGAGAGGTCAGAGTTTGTAACACAGAGTAGAATTTATGTCTCGTCTGGAGAAATGCAAACAGACCATTCTGAGGGAGGGCAGAACGTTGCTTGTTAGGTGACTTGCCAAGGGCATTATAGCAAACTGGTTGCAAAGTGGGAACCTAAATCTCAGTTTTCAGATTCCCAATTCAGTTTCTTTCCTATTTGAACACACTGTACAATTATATCACTTGTCACCTTTTAACCACTCAGACATTATCAAACCTAACCCATGTTTGCTCATAAGAGGTAGTAATGTCAGCTGGGCACGGTGGCTCACACCTGTAATCCCAGCACTTTGAGAGGCCAAGACGGGTGGATCACCTGAGGTCAGCAGTTCGAGACCAGCCTGGCCAACATGGTGAAACCCTGTCTCTACTAAAAATACAAAAATTAGTTGGGCGTGGTGGCGAGTGCTTTAATCTCAGCTACTTGGGAGGCTGAGGCAGGACAATCGCTTGAACCCAGGAGGCGGAGGTTGCAGTGAGCAGAGATAGCACCATTGCACTCCAGCCTGCATGACAAGAATAAAACTCTGCAAAAAAAAAAAAAAAAAAAAAGGTACTGATAGCATGTGAGAGAATCATTAGGGGATGCCCATAGCCTTCTGGGTGGTCCACATTCACTGCCCTTGCACAGCTTACTCCTGTTTCCCAACCTCTACATATCCCACGTCATACCCATTTGCCCTGCCCTGTTGTACAGGGGAAATTCCCTTTCTTCTTCTGCAGAAACCCCAATAAAAATTAATAAAGTAAAATAAAACACACAGCTACCAACTTCAGTACATGGCATGTAAGAAATCACATTCTTGTCACCTATCAAAAGCAAGATAATTCCTGAGTACTTCACCCATCAACAAATCACTGTAGTCCATTTAGTGTGAGCAAAATAATGAGCCACCTTTTTCATATCCTTGCCTCTGGCACTGCAATTTCAGTCTCAGTTACTTCAGTCTCAGTGTCTGTTACTTACCATTTTTTGTATTTTTATGCTTTCCTATGCACTAAGTTTGATACATGAGCAAAAATCCATCTATGAGAAGGAAGGGTGGTTGCTGATACTGATAAATTCATTCTGGTTTATGGCTAGCAAGATTATGAGGATTCTCAATCCCAGAAAAGTCATACACTGACTTTTCAGTGAGAATGCTGAAGATTTAAGAAAGGAAATAAGAAATGTCTTCAGCTGAGAAGGTAACTGGATACTGTCTTGGTCAGTTCAAGCTGCTGTCCCAAATTATCATAGACTAGGTGGCTCTTGAGCAACAGAAAGTGCTCATAGTCCTGGATGAGCAACAGAAAGTTCTCACAGTCCAGGAGGGTGGGAAGTCCAAGATCAAGTTGTCGGCAAATTCAGTATTCAGTGGAAGCTCGCTTCCTGGTTTGGAGAGAGAGCCTTCTTCTTCTCTCTATGAACTGTGTTCTCACATGGTGTTAGGTTAGTGCAAAAGTAATTGCAGTTTCGGGCCGTGAACATTAAGTCATTATAACTAGACTCAAACACATCTTTATTAATCAAAATAGGAACCATTACAATCAACACATTTTTGCCAATGCGAAGTAAGTTTTGTTTATCCCTGTAGTGTAAAATTCTGTGCTTTGAGAATCGACAAACTCTTGAATAGCATTTTCTGCATCCCGCCACTTGCGGAAGCATTTTCCCTGCGAAAAGTTGTTGAGATGCTTGAAGAAGTGGTAGATGGTTGGCGAGAGGTCAGGTGAATATGGTGGATGAGGCAAAACTTTGTAGCCTGTCTTTCCACTTTTGGTTATGTGACATGCAGCCAGGCGCTGTGGTGGAGAAGAATTGGGCCCTTCCTTTGACCAATGCCAGCTGCAAGTGTTGCAGTTTTCGGTGCATCTCATCTATTTGCTGAGCATACTTCTCAGAAGTGGTTTCACTGGGATTCAGAAAGCCGTAGTGGATCAGACCAGCAGCAGACCACCACACAGTGACATGACCTCTTTTTCAGTGCAAGTTTGGCTTTAGGAAGTGCTTTGGAGCTTCTTCTTGGTCCAGCCACTGAGCTGGTCATCCCTGGTTGTTATATAAAATCCACTTTCGTCGTGCATCATAATCTGATCAAGAAACGGTTCATGGTTGTTACATAGAATAAGAGTACTTTGAAACAACATTTTTTTTTTGATTCTCAGCTCATGAGTCACCCACTTATCGAGCTTTTTCACCTTTCCAATTTGCTTCAAATGCCAAACCTTAGAATGTTTGACCTTGAGTTATTTGGCAACTTCTTATGTAGTTGGAAGATGATCAGCTTCGAAGATTGCTCTCAGTTGGTCATTGTCAGCTTCCATTGGTCAGCCACTACACTCCTCATCTTCAAGGCTCTCATCTCTTTAGCAAAACTTCTTGAACCACACTGCACTGTATGTTCATTAGCAGCTCCTGGGCCAAATGCGTTGTTGATGTTGTGAGTTGTCTCCACTCTTTTACGACCCATTTTGAACCTAAATAAGAAAATCGCTTGAATTCGCTTTTTGTTTTTGAGACGGAGTCTGCTCTGTTGCCCAGGCTGGAGTGCAGTGGTGCCATCTCGGCTCACTGCAAGCTCTGCCTCCCGGGTTCACGCCATTCTCCTGCCTCTGCCTCCCGAGTAGCTGGGACTACAGGCTCCTGCCACCACACCCGGAAATTTGCTTTTTATCTAACGTTATTCTCATAGTCTAAAATAAATATAAAATAAACAGCAAGTAATAAGTCATTAGCAAAAAACATAAAGCAAGAAATGCACACTAACATGATGTATAACATAACCACATTTATTTAAGAACGTATTCCAATATCAAATGGCAAATTTCAACAATGTGAAAACCACAGTTGCATTTACACTGACCTTATAGGAAGGAACAAGCCTGTTCTCTTCAGCCTTCTCTAAGTGCACTAATCCCATTCGTGAAAGCTCCACCCTCATGATTCAATCACCTGTCAAAGGCCCCACCTCTTAGTACCATCATATTGGGGGTTAGGATTTGAATGCAGGGATTTTGATATACGTTCTGTCCATGGCAGGTGTGTTTCCCAGCCTGTGTTACACACCAGACTGTACTGCCGCACACGTGAGCCCTCGTTTACCCACAGTACCTGCTGAAATAACACACATGTGGTTCCTGTGTGGCTGTCCATGGGATATGTCCCATACTCCCACTGCTTTCTCCAAGGAAAGCAAGTAAATAAAGATGTGTAGGCAAAACACTCCCTCCCTTAATTGCACTAAGGAAACTGAATAAACTCGTTTTAGCAGATCCCAAATTTACTGCAGTGAACTTTAGATGAAGCACTAAGGTATTACACAGAAAATAACAGAAAACTGATGACTTCAGCTTTGGCATTGCGTTTCCTTCAGCTTGCAGAAGAGCCCAACATGAGAATCATAAACACAGAAGGCAACAGGATACAACTGCATGTACCTTAGGTCATTTCCTTTTTGGTTTTCTCCTCTTCCTCCTCCTCCATTGTAGCCTTGCCTATATCTCAGGTTAACCACTGTAAGTGCAAAGGGAATTTTACATGGATTTTTTTAAGTGGGCGATATAATTTTAAAAGTCATTTTTGAAAAACCTATAGGAAACTATTATATTGCCATGAATTTCAGCTAAGGAATGGAAGTCAATTGGCCACTGATGCTTTACAAAATAAAAATGTCCCAGAATATTTTCAATATTCAATATCTAATATATGGGGAAGAAGTGATTCTACCTCTCAAATAAGTATTCTGAATGAACATTTTGGTATTCCATTATTATAGACTCTAGTTACATCTGAATTCACTCTTAAGTGGCCATAAAGAATGCTCAGATTTCTTAAAGGATATATTTTTAAGGAGCATGCCAAATGTTTAAAAATGGCTAATGGATTAATTTTCATATTTTCATTCCCTTCAAATTTCCTTTGGTTAAATGGTTTGAATTGCTCCATGACAGTGCTAAACATATATTAGAGGACTGAAAAATACATTTGATGCATTGTAAAAACCATTTCCCTTGTAAAAGATGAGGATTATTTCCAGTTCCCTAGTAAATGCACAGTGAACAGGTATTTGGGTATTCCTGGGATAAAGAAAGACAGGGAAACTTGGGAAACGATGTAACAAAGACAGCCTTGTTGAATGTGATTATGTGCTTGGCAAATGCAGTCATTGCTTTCTGTCTCTGCTGCTTTTCACAGGTATAAGCCGCTGGCTGATACGTTCCTGCGTGAGAAGAAGGAACATTCGGCTGCAGAGCGATGTCGGCTTGTTCTCCAGCAGTGTAAATTACAAGGCTGGCAGGTCGGTGACCTACAAGCTATGAAAATACCACTTTAGGATTTTAAATAAATGAGCTGAGTCATTGCAGGGAGCCACCAGAGTCTTCCTGGCAAAAACAAATTCCTTTGATGTGTTTGGCAAGGCGTGACATTCAGTGTATTCCCTGGAAATTTGTCATTCTTTATGACTTGCTGATTTTAACATTTTGCAGCCAACATGAGGAAATCTAAGAGGCTCCCTTTACAACCATGACAGAAGCTCATGAGCCCCATTCTGTTTGCCCATGTGTCAGATTCATACCTTGTCACTAAAGCATTTTGTTGTATTTACCCATAGCAGGAGTCAGAGGAGCCAAAATTGAAGAACTAAGGTTGATTTCTGTGTGCAGAGTTGGTCTCTCACAAGTGCATGTTTGACCTGGACTTCCGTAGCTCGTTCAAGTCTCACTTAGCTCCCCTTTTTTCTGTTTCTCGTTGCCCTGCTTCTCACCTGCCTTACAGTGAAAATGTCACTATCCTTTGAACCTCATTTGTTGGCAAAAGCCTCATAATTGGAAACACTTTATTATAGTCTGTGATCGATTTGATGGCAGAACCTAGGGGCCAGTGAAAGCTATAGCTAGACTTGCAGAAAAAGAAAATAACCTGATACAAAATTACAGGCAAATGTTCACCACAAACAGGAGAAGATGGTTCCCGATTTTGTTAAATACGTTCAACAACATCAGAGTCCATCCTTGACTCATTTTAGGAAAAAGAGGTTTGAAGTGAGAAGAGCAGATTAGAGCGGCAATGGGAAACCACGCAGTCCATGACACCAGGAATTATTTGGAAGTTTCTTGCTGTAAAACCACCAAAAGTGCGTAGGTGGCAGAAACAACGGTAGCTAAAAGCTTTGGTAAAAACATGACGATGACTGGAAAGTAGACAAAATTTGCATCTTTAAAAAGTGATAGGGAGAATATCTATGAGTAAAAATACATGATAATTGATGAGTCAAAGGATGAGGACTTGGCTTTAGAAATGACATGAGCTCATGATTCAGAATTGCTGAATAGGTCCAAAAGTGGCCCAGTCTAAGTAAAACAGGGAGGGAAGACTGGATTGACACTCGCACGCTCATCTGTCTATGACAAAGAACAAAGAACCTAGAATTTTGGCATTGATGAGTAATGATTTAATTGTCTGTGCCACCCAATCTTTTTCTTTGTTATCTTTTTTTCTTTTCTTTTCTTTTTTTTAACTAATAATGAAATTTGAACTTTAAATAACAATCTGAAGGAGGAAGCTTACTCAGTCTGAAGTTGTCAGTGATGCACATCAGTGCCAAAAGATTGGGTAAAAAGGGAAGGAGGAAGAAGGAGGAATTACTAACCAGAAGTGATGTCCGCCAACCCCTCCAGAGTCAGTGACATAGGGGTGGGATTCACATATATCAGCGTTTATTCGGTCTATAGGTAACTGAAGTCAGTTCAACGGAATCATTGCTGAGATTTTGAATAAGTAATTATATAGTAGTAGTCCACCGATGATGTACCACTAAAATATTCTTATTGTATTATTTTGCTTTTAAAGAATACTTACAGATAATGATATACATATATATGTGTATGTGTGTGTGTGTGTGTGTGTGTATCTGTGAGATAGATGTGTCTGTATGAGGGAAAGAGAGAGGGAGAATTTTTATTTGTAGAAGGAAGCAAGGGAATCTGGAATAATTCTTTCACTAAGAGAGTGATTGGAAGTAACCACAATACCTGAGCAGTGATCCCTCTGATACACCACTGTAAAGTACAGGTCAAATATGAGAGGAGACTGGAAGACAAATCGGTACACCCTGCCAGCCATCATTTCTTCTGTATTGCTGCTTTTGCTAGGGTACTGGAAATTGCAGCCGAGGATAGCATTAAATTGAAACATGCATTAGGACTTTCAATGAGAGTATTAACATGTTTTTAAATGGGAAAAGGATCCCATTTCATGGCACTATTTTCTCCACATTTTTCACCTGCCTGAAAAGAAGCTGAAAATACAAGACAAAAAAAATTAAAAGGAAAGAGAAATAAATGTGCTTATTCACTGAGCATATTTACTTATGAGTTCCCTGTTGTCTAGTCAGAAAAAACAGTGTTTCTTCAGCTTCTTCAAGATGTAACCTGTGATGTACTTTATACTACCAGACAAATAATCAACTTCACAGAAATGAAGCTTATTCACACTTCACTTTTATATTGGTCTGACAAAGGAAAAAAAGCTTTTGTTAAAAAAAAAAAAAGTAAATAAAACAAAACAAAAAGCACTTATTCCTAACCTGGAAAGTTAGACTCCTCAGTTGCAAAAGCAAAGCATTTGTTTGAAATGCATTGCTAGTTACAGGAAGAATTCCTCCTAGTCCATTCTGTTTTTAATTGTCACAGCAATTAAATCAGAAGCTGTTAGGCTGCAGGGACAACAAGGTTGCATCTGATGGTTAGTGTATCTGTAGCATTGTTTCCAAATTGCTGAGAGTTACAATGTGTATTTTCATTAACCAGTCAGTTCATCCTTTAGTCCTGAGTGGTTAGCATGAAATGAATGGTTATTTTCCATATTTTTAAAAGCAGTGCTGGAGGACCGAAGAGATTAGAATTACATTTTGCTGCGTTAACTTGTATACAGTGTTAGCTAGAAATTCATTTCTTTTAACTGAAAATAGTAATTTCATTGTCATTCTAATGGGTCTTGGAGATCTGGCGGGTTTTGTCTTCTCTCCTTAACTTTAATCAGACCCTGTAGAAGGAAAGCCTTGAATCATCAATATGAGATTGTAACTCTGGAATTCTTATGCTCTCCAACATTGTAGCAATTCAGTAAGCCTTGGTGCACATTTGATTTCCTTCTGTTTCAGATGAGGATAGAGATGTCATATTTTCAGTACTATTTTGTACGCCGAGCTATACACCTGTGTCTGCTTTTCATGCTTTAAGTAGTCACAGGTTTGTAGTCTGCACATGAGGTACTGGAATTTTTAATATTTAATAGGTAATAATTCCTGTCATCTACAGAGTATATTACAACTATTCATAGTTTTTATTTTATTTTATTTTATTAGAGCCTAATAAAAAAATCTGTGCAGAAAAGGAAAGTAGACAGTGTGTACAGGAGTGACCTTATTTTAGATTTGAGGAAATTGAACCTCACAGAGAGCCCTTGTCTTAGTTAGAGATCAGTGTACTGATCAAAATATTAGGTGCAGTTAATATTCAGTTTCAGTGGGAGCACCACTTTGCTGAGACCAACGTCTAGCTTTTACTATGTCATGTTCTTTCCACTGCATTTAACTCGATCTATATCTTTTAATATAACTATCTGAAGTCATTTTGCTCATATTACAGGACTTGAAAGGGATAGGTTATGCGTCACAGTGCGAGCTCTGATCAAAGACACTCATACCCTTTATTCGTCTGAGCAACCTTCCCCTTGTACATAGTGCCTTTTTTATGTTTAAAATTCGCCCAGCAAATGAAGGAAAAACAAGCGGACTACTTCCCATTACAGGGTGACTCTGATCAGAATCCTTCTCTACCCAAACTGTCAGCCAAACTGACCCTGAAATAGCACAATGCATTTGCACCCTCATTCCCAACTACATCTTGGAAACAAGAGGAGAAGGAAAAGGAGAAGAGGAGGAGTAAGGAAAGAAGAAGATAGAGAAGGAGAAGAACTGGAATCAAGTGAAGAGTCTCAGGAAGCATTTGATATTGATTATAATTCTGAGAGTTAAGACCTAGATGTGACTCAGGCCATCCAGAGGAAATGACAGGGGTGGGGGCAAGTCATGGGCGGTGCTGGTAGAAATGCAGGTCAAAGGAGCAGTGCTGCACCTTCGCACCTAGAGCAAAGGCAGTTTGAAAACAGTTTATTAGGCTATTTCCGCAGATCTGCACCGTTTCCAGTATACCGAGTTTTGCTCACATGCCAATTCTCAGCGAGGCATTCCCTGGCTACTAGATTTTAAATTCTCATTATCCTCGACCTTCCTACTGCATCTTCTCATCCTCTTCTCTGCTTCGTTCTTCTCCATGGTGCCTAGGACCTTCTGTTACACTTCAGATTGCAATCCTTAACATGCTGTTCACCACCTTTCCTCCATAGCGTGGGAGCTCCATCCGAAGGGCTTTGTGTCCGCAGCTTACTGCTGCATCCCCAGCATAGAAGCCAGAGAAAGACACGGGACAGACACTCTGTGCCTGGAAGCTGGGCCAAGAAATGAGTTTCTGTAAATAAGAAACTACCAAACAATACAGTATACTTGATGTGGATTCAAAGACATGTAAGAACTTTTATAGGCTGGACGCAGTGGCTGATGCTTGTAATCTCAGCACTTTAGGAGGCTGAGGTGAGTGGATCACCTGGGGTCAGGAGTTCAAGACCAGCCTGGCCAACATGGTGAAACTCTGTCTCTACTAAAAATACAAAAAATTAGCCAGGCATGGTGATACCTGTATTTCCAGCTACTTGGGAGGCTGAGGCAGGAGAATTGCTTGAACCTGGGAGGTGGAGGTTGTAGTGAGCGGAGATTGTGCCATTGCACTCCAGCCTGGGCAACAAGAATGAAACTCCATCTCAAAAAAAAAAAAAAAAAAAAAAAACCTTTTAAAATGTATTGTTTTGAAATGAAGTAAGATTCAAATGGATTTTTAGCTTTATATCTGTGTTTATAAGATACATGTATTAATGCATTACTTCTATAATTGCAAATAATTTTTAAAATTTGAAACTACTACATAAATATAATTTCAGCATAGAATACTGTATAGGGTCAAATTAACTATTTTAAACATTTGTGAAAAAGCTGTAAGTCACACGGCATTTTGCACCAAAGCATTTTTGTTTTCCAATATATAATTTCTGTTATGTCTTTTATACCACTAGCCTGTACTTCTCAAAGGAATCTGGTGCCTTCTTTCATATAATTTGAACTGGTCACCACAAGTTTTGGCAAACTCATGCATGTTGCTGTTTCCTCAACATACTCAAAAT